ATGAGACGAGACACAAACCCGTGCTTGTTCGGCCTCCTGCAGCTCAAGCATCCTTTTGGCCCGGGCCAGGTGGTCCATTTGCTCAAAGGCCTTCACCTTTCCCCGGAAGGTGTGGTTGGCGGGGTCGACAACAGGGTTAGAGGTCGTATCGTCAGCTGAGCCAGTCTTCACTGTGAAACTGGGCTTCTGAGCTACCGGCGGTGGAAGAGGTTTGTTACCGACAGGAGCATCACTGCTGACTGTGCTGCTGGAACGAGAGTCCAAACTCCTGGCGTCTGCAGGACGTGAAGCTGCCCGGACCTGCAGGAACACCAGGTGTTTGAACTCACTTACTGTCTGTAATGGGCCAAAGGAAGGCCTCAGGGGAGGAAAAGGAGCTATAATGGAAATGAGAGACTGACCTTAGGGGGTTCAGGAACAAATGATGGAGGCGGGCTGGGGTCCCGCTGCACCTCTTTACTCGCAGATTTCTTTAAACGCTCATGAGGAACAGGTATGGGTCTCTGCGTAAGTCAACAAAAAGTGAGAAATGTAGCATTAATTCATTGAAAGATACATTATAAAAATAAAAACCTTAATACACACCTTCTACAATAGACAGGTTTTCACTTCCTGAATTAAAATGTACTTTGATAGAAGTCTTGGGAAGAAAAAAAAAAATTATGTAGGATTTTGTATTATTATTCTAACAATAACTATTATTACTACTATTATTTTTCATTTTAAGTACACTACTGTTCAGAGGTTTGGTGTTGTTTTTTTTAATGTTTGAAAGTAGTCTCACCAAGGCTGTATTTTTGAAAATCATACATTTGAACTTTTCTTATCACTGATACTCTTATGACGGTCAGTGATAATGACATCGATACTGAAAACAGGACGACTGACCTTTACAGATGACTGATTTTTATAATCAAATGACTCCGTGCTGAAATGTTTGCAGGTAGCATTTGGGTAGGGCTTAAATGACATTCCTGACAGTGGTAAAAGGACACTAGTAGTTTCCACAGCACACTAACCTCCTCCCTAACAGGCTCAGACGAGCGGCTGATGGCTGACATCGGCTGCGGCTCGTCGGTGGACTCGTCAAGCTCGTTATCCGTGT